AACTTCTCCTTTCCTCTACAGTATTAATTATTATGATGTTCAATGACAGGATAATTAAAGAAAAGGAACCAGTTTAGCTAGAGAAACAATACTGCTATCACTTTTATTATTTTACTATTCTTTTTAAAACTGCACAAATATGAAAATGAGCTCTAATGTTTGATTTGATAAAAAACATTCTAAAAGAAATACACATATGTTATGTGAAAATATTTTAAAAGCATCATTCCATGTACAATAGGTAAGAATGAAAGTAGAATAATTTATTTCTTTTTAGAATACAATGTACTCAAAGTGATTATATTAAAAGGAAATAACATCACAAATATACTGTGACAAAGTAAAACAAAAGTAAACAGTATTACAAGATCTGTAATAAACAGCTAATTATATTGTTTGTTTTACAGTTCATCTTAAACATTAAAAAAGATCAAAAGTAAAAACATTTTATAGAAGTAAAACAATACTATGCAATTTCTAAATAATTCATTAATATAATGAATGGAAAAGTTATGCAAAATGTTGACTAAATTAATAAAAATTTCAAACTAACTCTCACTACTGTGCAGAGAATAAACTAGAATTGTAAGTTCTGAATTGAGAAAATTTAAGAAATAGCCACTATGAAAACTTAAATGCTACCACCTAATAACACTATCCTTACATAAAATTCCAGCACTTAAAACATCCCAATAAGAGAAAAGCATTTAAATATTTTAAAATATTTCTAACATGACATGTTGTGAGTATTATTGTCACAAGTAATCACCTTTGCAAAGGGAACATTTAAAAAAAATCATTTTTGTGTATTTCTGAATATAATATCTTAAATTATTGTCATAAAAGTAAGGATTTTTAAGATAGTGGGTTAAAAAAGTAAACTCAAGCTAGAAAAGAAAATGTCTTTGGTCATATTACATTAAAATACTTTGCAAATGTTTCAAATTTGAAAGTGCTTCTATGGGCACACATATATATATATATATATATATATATATATA